AAGGTATATTTTTTTAAATTAACAAATAATTTAGCTTTGCGTAAATATTAAAAAACTTATTTAATATACTTAATATATTACTTAGGATTAATAAAAAAAATCAAAATATTATTAAAATAAATAATATAAATTTAATTTAAAATATTATAAATTATAAAATAAATATAACTTTAAAAAGTGGCAGGAGCATTAATTAAACTAAAAGGTATAATAATATATTTATAATAATTATAATAATATTAAAAAGCTATTTTTTACTAGTCGTCTTTATAAACCTAAATATAATAATAAGTATTTTTTAAATTAACTTTAGTATAGCGGGTTGCTCCCAAGATCTAGTTAAAAATTTTTAAAATAAAAAATAAAAGGTATTAATTTTTAACTATTATTTTATTTAATCCTTAATAATTAATATATAATTATAAGCCTTTATTTTTTTAGGTATAAAAAAAATAGGTGCTCCGGCAGGACTTTTAAAAGATTTAATATAACTATATTAAATATTTTTATTAATATACTAGTATAACATGGCTAATTTAGTAAAAAAAATAAATTAGCCTATAAAAAAGTAACTAGCTATTTATTATTATAATACTATATATAGGTACTAACTTTAAGGACATTATTTTTTGTACCATGTAAAAAAAATATATTTTAAAATATATTAAGTTTAGATAATAAATTATTTATTTAATCTAACTTGCCGCTGTTATAAACTTTTTTAGGTAAAAAAATAATAATAAATATATAAGCTTAATTCCTGCAAGCCTTTATAAACTTATATTATATAAAAATTTAGTATTTTACTACTTTATTATTAAATTATTATTAATTTATTATTATATAAATATATATAACTTAAATAATTATAAAAAAAAATTATTAGGTATTTAACTTTAGTTTGCTTAATTCCTATATAAGGCTATTTAAATATTTTTATAATATTTTTAAAATTAATAACTTTAATAAGTACTTTTTATACCCCCTTTAAATTATCTTGCTAACTACTATATTTTTTTAAAATAAAATAAAAAAGTTTTACTTAATTTAAATAAGCATGCTTAATAAATTTTATACTTATTATATTTACCTTACTTTAATATTTAAATTTATTTTAGTTTTAATTTTATTCCGCGAAGCTTTTACTATTATTTTTATTTAAAAATACTTACCTATTTTTATTTTTAAATATTAAGCTAGGGCATAAGACTTTACTTTAACTTTTTTTTATTTTTTTTATATATTTTACTTTTATTTTAATTTATATACTTACCTTTTTACTAATTATTTTACTTTTTTTTTATAATATTTTTTATTTTAAGGGTCCTTAACTACTACCTTGTAAATTTTTATAATTTAATTAAAATTTACTAGCTAAAAGTTAGGGTTTTATAATAATTTTATATAATTAGGTATACTATAACTAGGCTTTTTATACTTAAAACATGTTATAAAAGTTAATTTTAGTTAATTTTAATTTAATATTATTCTAATATAATTTTAAAAGGGTTTTACTATGCTAAAAATTTATTTTATAAGTATTTTATTATAACTTTTTTTAAAAGTTTATTTTATAAAATAATTTTTTTTTTAAATTTTTTTACCGCAAGTAAATCCGTGTTAATTTTTTTAAAATTAGTAGTGTTTTTTTTATTTAGTAAGTTTTAATTATTTATTATAATATAAGGTAATATAAGGTTATAAATATAATATATAAAATTAATATTATAAAGTAAGTTAAATTAAATATTTTTTAGTATTTAAAAGTTTTATATTATTAAGATTATAAATTTTATTTTAAAGTAAAGGTAAAAATTTACTAAAATAGCATTAAATCTATATTTTTTTATTATTTTTTAAAAAATATTATTTTAATATAGCTAAATAATTAGCAAAATCCCTAGGATTTCAGTTTTTTTTTTTAATAAGCTAACTTTAATTTAATTATAGTATTTAATAAACTAGTTATTAAACTTTTTAAAATTATAGCTATTTATTTTTTAAAGTATTTTTTAAAAAAAAATTTAATATTTTTTATTTATACTTTTTAATTTATTAGCATGTTAAATTTAGTTACTTTTATATACTAATTTTATTATAGTTAAAGCTCCTAAAATTTACTATTAATTTAATTTATATTTTTTAGGTGCTTTTTTAAAATTTAATTTTTAAAATACCAAGCTAATTAAGATATTACTATAGGCTAAAATTAAAATTATACTTAAGTATATTTTTATTTTTAATTTTATTATAATTTTTTAGTAAATTATTTTAGTATTAATATTACTTTAAAGGTATATTATATTTAATTAATTAATTTTTTAAATACTTAATATATTTTTTTATATTTTATAATTATTAGGTTACTAGCGTTTTATAAGTGTTTTAATAATTTTTTATAATAATATTTTTAATAATTTTAATAATAAAAAATTATTAAGTATTAAAAGGTTTTTTTTTTAAATTATTAAAATAGTTTTATTTAAAAATAAAGTATAAGTATACTAGCAGCATAGTACATGTTTTATAAGTAGTTAATAAGTAAAAAAGTTAAAACTATAAAAACCTTAAGTAGGCTAACTAGGTATAAAATAAAGTATTAAAAAAACTATTTAATAAGGAATTAATATTAAATCTTAAGATTTAAAATATATAAAAACTAATTTTTAATTAACTATTTTTTACTAGGGCGTTGGCCTTAAATATATTATTAAAATAATAGTAATATTATTACTGCGTGGTGGGTTAACATTATTATAACTCTTATTTTATTAATTTCTTTATCTTATCGGGGCTTGGCACCCGTGGGTGTGACAAAAACCAAGTACTAGTATATTAACAGCCTTACTAATATATTAATAATTTTATTTTTAGCTAAATACCACGTGGATAAACCTTTAAATAGCTTTATAAATATAAGTACTTTATTTTTAGCTAAATATTATATAAATAGGCCTTTAAATAACTTTATAAATATAAGTACTTTAATTAATATATTATTTTTTATAAAAAAAACAGGTACTAGCGCGTTAATAGCCTTGAATACTAATTTATAATTAAAAAACGTGTTTATTACGCCTTAAAATAACTTTAAAAATATATTTTTAAAGGTTTTTATTATTAAATTTGCTAATAAGGGACAGGTACATTAATTTATATAAAAAAGCTTATATAAATTAATATACCTATATTTTAATATAAATTTAGTAATTTTTAAGCAAGTGCGCCCCAAAGGCCTTTATTTATGTTTATATATTATTTATTATATAAACTAGAATAGCTTAATTACACGGGCACGTAAGGCACTAAAACTTATTCCAATACTAAATGTGTCGGCAGTATACAAATACCCCTTTGCGATCTGGGCCACATGGCGATAAGCAACGGACGGCTGAATCAATGATAATTCCTGTCTTTGGAACAAGGTATCGGTTGGTTGGAGTGACTGGATGTCCTCGTGTGGCTGAATCCTTCGATGCGGCTCTCGCTCCCTTCATTGGTTTCCTACCACACTGACCACTCTCACCTCGGTCCTCTCTCAGTCTCCCCCAATCCGCTCTTCAGCCTTGCCGATTCTCTTTCCATAGAGTCCATTCGCTGTCCATTTTCCACGCCGCAATCTTTCAAGCCTGTACTACGGTACCAGAGTCCCAATTTGCTGTTAAACCCCTGATGGCAAATAGGGTGTTCCAATAAGGCTAACCTCAGGTTCTGGCGCTCTGCGACTATTACTGGTCTACAGAATCCATTGTTTATGCGACTCCTCGGGTGAGATTTATAACAGCAATCCAACTGCAAAGCGTGCATTAATCACGAATGATGCGTGGCTGAAGGGCTAACTACATAAGCATTGGGGAATAAACTAAGGGCTAGGCCGAGAGGCTTTGCGGCATGGTAGCATAGAATTACTCCATCGCTATACCGTATCCAGCATCGGATTGAGGGGCCTGCAGGGCTTAGGTAGAAAGCTGAGCGAATCCGGCGCCCACAACAAGCGAGCGATAACCCTATGTCACATTTGCCATAGAAACTATGGGACCTGTAATATGACATTTTCGATGATATAAAAGATCGTGTGGTGAGCTGGGATATGTGAAGATGAAGGTCTGGCTTGGTTATCCAATTATCCTCAGGGCCCTTGGTTTTGTTCTTGTCACGGGGATTCAAAATGCTGCAGAGAGGTCGGGTTCTTCACTTGCTTGCCGTGTTAAGTGGATGATGTAGCTAGGCCTAGTTTTTGCTTTCCATGAATCATCAGTGCTGCGGACCTCGGCCTCATACAAGACCCAGCGGTTTCATTTCTGAATCCAAGCCACATTTGGAATCTTTACGAGCTCGTCACTAATAAGCGCTGACTCCTACAAGCCATTGTACCGCCCAGAGTCAAGGTGACCCGTGCCCTAATTGATCCATGCTTCTAATCAGCCAAACCTTCGCAGCGATGATGTTTACATTCCTCTTCCGCATACACCCTACTGCGCATTGAATTTGACACAAGCATAGGTACCAGGTGGAAGAGTTGAGCTGGACTTCTTCGATGAGCGGACACTTAACAACGAAAGAATCGGTCATCTCAAGGAATGACAAAGGAGCGTCCCACTTGGGTATGTTAGGGTAAAGTGAGCAAAAAAAGAGGACGAAGATGTAAAAGATGCAGCTGTGTGTCAGTGGTACTGTAACTGAAGACTGAAACATCCTCGGCACTTCCACGGTTATGGGGATCTTTCACAGTGTTTATAGACGCTGGCGTGGATCCAAGCTGTACATTGCCTCGCCGGAATTATAGCTTTCGGAGATTTCATTCAAAATTGGTCAGTGTCTGGGTGTGCTGAGGGTACGCTCGATTAAATCCAGAGACATCATTGATTATCCCCGCAATGGTCTGCTATCCAAAATAGAGCTCAGTCGAATCCCGTCCATCCAACAAGAAACCCACAAACTTAGGGCATATATGGCAAATAGCTAGATTATCCCTACACCTTCCCATCCTCAGGAGTGCTTTAGCGCTTCCTTAACGCAACGCCTCTAACCCCGCCCTTCACATGCTGCCATACAGGAGCTATGTGCTTCTTAAGCGAGTTGACCTGAAATGCAACTGTCATGAAGAAGCCAGAAACAACCGCCGATACGCCGACTATTGTGCACGAACAACCGCCCAGATTAGACAGGTTACTTAAGCAAGGGCATGAAGCTTAGCACCAGCAGGACAGTGTCACTCACAGAGGATTGGGAAGATCCACCCTCCTCGATAAACGACATCGTCACCCTTGTGTGGGAAATCGTTGATATTCAGGGCGAATAAGCTCGTGAGGAAGGAGAGCGGGAGCTAGGTATAAGGAGAATGGTAAGTGATGTGTTCAGGGACAACTGGATAGGGCGTGACGGAGAAAGAAAGGGGCATGGCAATCTTACGAAGATGATGGTCACGACAGTGAAAACCACAATTGTATCCCCCTGTCTCGCCGTTTCCGCGGCTTGCTGCCGCGCAAACCTCGCTTCCAGGACATTAGCTTGCCTCTGCCTCGTGTCTCGCAGAGACTCGATGTTCCTCTGCATGGCTTCGGCTTCGCGGATCATTCCTATAATCTGTCTTTTTACTTCGCTTGGGGTGCTTTTTGCACTGTGGGTGGAATGGTCGTCATTGCCTAGAACCTCTGCCGCTTGCGCCCAGACGTGTTCTTGGTCTTCACATAGATTTTTGAGGATGTTGAGCTCGTCGCAGATATGTTTCAACTCCCGCAGGAATCCGGTCTCCGCTTCGATCCTGAGGAATCCGTTATTGATCTCACGTTCCACTGTGTGTTCGGTATCGGATCCTCCTTTGTCAGCCTCGTCAGCTCCCAAAGAGGTTTCGAATCTGTTGAGAAGGTGTGCTTCCAAATCCCGCTACGGATGTGAGCTTTAGGCCTTTTATCATAGGACTAGGGTTTTATACTCACCGCGTATTGGAGGGAGGCCTGGAAGATCTCCAGGGGCGATCTCAGAGTCCCCAGTACTGGGATATGTTTCTCGTTGAAGAGGCTGACGGCGGTGCCAATGAGCAACCGGGCCATGACTTTTGATGTGACCGATGATCCCTTTGCCTGGTGTTCAAGTTTGCTCACCAAGTAATCTATGAAGCCCCTGTCATCTCCGTCTGGTTCTCTGGGCGTGCAGGCGATTATTGTGTCTGCAATGGGAACACTGGTCAGGTTTTCCATGCCGACGAGGGATGACTGGCAGAGCTGCCAGGATAACGTACCGTCATCAAGGAGCCAAACCCAGAGTTGATTAACAGTCATCAACTTCGTAGGCGCTTCGTATTCGGGATGTGCCTCTCCGTCTATCATCGTGTTTTCGTCTTGCCTAGACGATGGAGCAGTATCGTTGCTAACTCTTCTCGTACCACCTGTCTTTCCCATCACTCCTTTGGTCTGCCTGACTATGTATCTTCCCATTACCTGATCCATATCACGCTGAGTCGTGTCCTCATTAGAGACATAGTAATACTGGGCCAATGTCATTGGTTGCTGCATTTCCCGATACTGTTTTTCGGCCTCCTCGCCCAAGGGTAACTCTGCTGGTCCTACCGGCCGATCTGTCCACGACAAGTATGGCATCTATAGATAAAGTCAGCAGATCGTAAGTCGACGGATGTTCCGACACACATGAACCGAAATCATTTCAACACCACGGGTTTCCGCCGCGGGCTTGGCTTGTAACGTTCGCTTGCTTCTTTGCTGCATCGTTGGGGCTTGTTGCCACTTCTGTTGACAGACGGTCAGGAGCTTGGAATGAATAGCAACACGCGGAGAACGGGGTCGTAGGAGCATACTAACCACACACTGCGGCTTCATGCAATATTTCCTACCCCCAGCCGGTACGGCTACACTATTCTGCTGCACGAAGTCTTCTAAAGGGCGATGGTCGCGGTTCGTCAGACCCTTATCTCGGCAGAGCCTGACTACTAAGTCCTGCTCGGGGTTAGTGTCGCCTGGGCTACTTGCACGGGGTCTTTATACCTGAACATATCGCAGCTTGTAGCCCCCCAGTATCAGTTCGGTCCACATGTATGCAGTTGGAGGGGGATACAGACATCGTTCATCGGCAAATGGAGTAGTCTTAGATGGCAATTCCGCCATGTTTCTGAAGCCTTGCTATTCCCTATCTCCTCATCCACACTCAGTCCCTCGTTCATGCTGTTTTCGAATCCATAAGGACTTTCGGTCGAGGCCTGGATACCTCTCTTCACCGTGGCAAATCTTTGATAGTGGGTACCAGCCATAATCCTCCGCGGTCCCTTGCCATATATCATCTCCCAAATGCGGGGCCGCTTGGGATAGAAGGTGGGGTCTGTCCGGCTGGATGAATCCATAATTAACCCCTGTGCATAGTGATACTTATGAAGCATGTGTCGAAACGACGGAGGGTTAAAATCCCTTGGGGGTGGCCAGTTCCAGATGGGAGGAGGGTCAGAAAGCAGCCCTTCAATGATCATATTGTGCTTTATCTTATGCCGTTCCGAATATGAAATACTTTCGTGTATTTGAGCATTGAGCATCATGGCGCGCGCGACATTCCTTTCCCCAAGGTATGCACCGCTGGCTAGAAGCCACCAAACGACGGTTGGACGTTGGTAGTAAATTGCCCAGTGTAAAGGGTTGGAACCGCTTCTTGGGAGGTGGGAAATTGACGATGTGCGCCAGTCTGGCAAGAGTCGGTGCACCACCATCACCTGGAAAAGTTGTCTAACTCTCTGGTCCCTTCGCGACGGGCGACTTCTGGCGGCAAGCTCCAGTAGCTCATTTGCCGCGTTAGGTCGAACATCGTCTGCTAAACCATGGAAAAGGTCAGCCTGCTGGGCAGCTATCTTAAAGAACTCGTCCCAGAGCAAGTCTTCGATGAGGATGTGCTTCTCCGTGGCTCCCTGAACGGCGAGATCGACTGGGGTGTGGCCTTGCTTCGTTGGTTCAAGCATAATGTCCAAGATGCCACCGTGTCGAACGTTTTCCTCGGCTTGGCCTTCAGTGTTTGAGGCAATTGCTCTGTTACCAACCGGTAGTGGCTCCTGGAGCACTTTGACCATGTCCCTTATCAGCTCAACATGGCCATGTGCAGCAGCTAAGTGCAATGGAGTGAGCCCCGCTGTGGCTGGGATAAGGAGATCTGATTGTTGCTTCGAGAATTTCTTCACAACGTGGGTATGGCCTCCGATAGCAGCCACATGGATCCAAGAAGCTCCGTCCCTGTCCAGGGTGATCTGGTGAGCAAGGTCAAGTAGGCTCTCGCGCCCATTGACCACGGCCCAATAGGCCACCGGTGCCTGGTGACGCTGCTTCTCATCGGGCTGTGCACTTTCCTTCCACTTTTGGAGAATGGCCTCCACCTTCCCTGCCTCTTCATCATCGGATCTAGTTATTTCGTCTCGCAAAGGAGACTGCGGAAAGTAAGCCGGGGTAGAGAGCAAATGCAGTGCAGTTTCGATGTAGCCGGACGTCGCCGCTTCACTCAGGACCGTCGCTCCGAAATCGTCTGCCATTGTTACAAATCGTCTCGCCTTCTCTCGCCCTTCCGCAGTATCGTCAGAGAATATCGTTGTGAACAAGATTTTGCGTAAAGGATAGGCGTTTGGAAAACGCGTGTAGAATAAAGCAGTCCGACCATGTCGACCTGGAACCGTGAAGTCGGCACCCTGGCGGAGCAAGTATTCAACAGCAGCTGGTTGTGCCCCGTTTATTGCCTCGAGCAATGCCGTGTTGCCGTTTGAAGCTTTCTGATCCAGGAGATCCAGATCAATCTCGAGAAGCCTTTCCATGATGGCAATACGCCCCCATCGGGCAGCGAGGTGAAGAGCCGTCTCGTCATCTGTAGTTGTCTGGGATGCGACCTCCAAGCCATGTTTAAGGAGGGCGTCGAAAGCGTTTACACTGCCTTGTTTGGCAGCGAACAACAAGGGTGTAAGCATTGGATCCTCGCCACAACCCCGGGCTGGCAGGAGCGTGCTGACGCCGTTTTGCAGCCGCACTCCGTGGACCAGCAACTCGTCCAGCTCTGGACCGCTGTCATTCTCAATCGCCAGCTTAAGTTTTGCCAACCAAGCATCCTGGTCCCGAGGCGGATTCGCAACACTGGGATCAGTGTCGACCCCAGAATTCGGGCGTGAAGTGCCCACGCCAGTCTCCATATCCTTCCCTACTTTAGCACGCTGTCGGTAGGCGAAGGCGATGGACTTACCAGAGAATTCCCAGGATCCCACATGTTGTACCAGGTTGCTTTCGGAGACCGATTGGGTGAGTGGTGGGGGAAGGTGAGTGAAGTGAGGAAGGAGCAAAGGTGCCAGACGGCTTTGGGCTCCAGCTCCTTCGCTCCAGCTCGCTTGCCGCCCAGCTCCACTTTGGCTGCAGGTATGCAGGAGTTTAGAGGACTTGATTCGGTGGTTAGTTAGCTCATGCATCCATTGACTCGCCAACCGCCTGTCGGAGCACACATAATACCCTTTTGTGGAGCTCCTCTCTTTGCTTTTTCCGATATCTTTACACAATTCCCCCCGGAACTCGGTACTAGCCCTAATGACACATGGACGATCTTCGGACTGCTTGCTTTCTGTCGACGCATGTACGTTAGACCTACCTGCTTGCTGTCCTGAACCTTCCGTCTACCAAGCGCACTCACGTCTTATATCCATCCATCCAGATACAYGGAGCTCCTTCCCATCCTCTACAAACCTAACGTCCTACTCTTCAACTACTCGCTTGATATATGTCCTTGAGAAGATGACTGGCTTGTGGAGTCTGGCATTAAGCTCAGACGCCCGACACTCTAAGCCTCTTCAAGGCGTTGACAGCGTTTAAGGTTGTACTATTTCTTGTCTAGCTACTTCTCAGCTGCAAGGACCCATTATTACCCTGTGAGCTTCGTACTCTACTAGTCTCAGCATTGTCTCCTGCATAGCCCTCATGCTCGATGTGTGAGTACCGGGTGTATAACTCAGATCCCTGATGTCTGAGGAATCCCGCCATCAACCACCCGAGGATTTCCATCTGAGGTGCCTTCCACTTCCATCCCGCCCTCAGCAGTAAAGACATTGGTGTAGTAGGGATAGTGTACGGCAGAGAGGTTAACAGCAACTGTAATCCAAGCAAAGACGCCATCTTCAATACTGTCCCCCAGCAACGCATAGTTCAGCATGGGATCTGACTCGCTATACTCAGTCTCCTGGGCGACAACGCGGTCCACAGCGTTAGGCGTGATAGGGATACCATTCGTGTTGTACGGATAAGTTGCTTCAACCCGGTCAATCAGATCTTGATCCCAGAAGATCTGCGCGACGTGGCCCACCGTCCCACCAGTGACAGTGTTATTCGGCAACCGCCTCGCCCCAATATGCGCGATGTTGTGGTAGTGCGTTGTGCGCCCGTCATAGTGGCCCGGGAAGAGCGTATCAAAAATCACAACCCCGTCCTCGTCTGTCTACTGCACGCCACGCAAAAAGGTCGCGTCTCGGTTGCTCTGGTCCTCCGAGTTACCGTTCCCGTCCGCAACGAGGCCCGAGTACACGCCCGTTGCATTACACCCCCACAGCTCGGCGTAGAGGCGCGGGACTGGCTTGCAAGTGTCCACGTCGATGTACTGCTGCTCCAGGATCACGGGGACGCCTACCTGCCCCTCGCGGGTGTGAGAGCGCACGCGTTCGCCGGGAATCCAATACGGCCCGGTTTCGCCTTCGGCGGTTGGACCCAGGAGGCAGGCTTTCTTGCTGGTATCCTGGAAGATCTCGTCGGCTGGCATCCAGGGGGAGAGGGTTTCGACGGCGTGGTGGGAGGTGTTGAGCACGGCGGCCGTGTCGCGGGTGTTGAGTTGGCGACGGTGGAGCTCAATCGTTGCTTTCCGGCGTGACTCGGAACGCGCCTGGAGACCGGTGGCTTTGAGGTGGTCTGCGCATTTGGCTAGTCCGTGGCCGAGATCTCTCTTGTATTGTTGGACGGACGCTGGGTCGCGCTTCTCGATGTGCCCTGGGTGGGCGAGGGCGAAGGTGGCGCCTCCGAGGAGGCTGAGCTGCAATGTGCTCTTGATGTGCATGGTGAACAAAAAGGTAAAGGATATAGCAGAAGAGAGATTGTGTTTTTGAAGATCTTTCTGGTTCTATCTCTTGACCACCGGGTGCAACAGCGGCTTTTATACCTTCATCCGTGCTAGTCAAGAGATGTTCTGCCTGCTCAGATAGGCGGGTAAGTGTATACACGCCCTCGATACTATTACCTCTTCCATTATCCGTAGAAGAGGATGTTGATCAGTACCTACATCCTTTGCACCTATGTTGATCAGGCTTATGCAACTCGGCCCAACAACCGCCATATACAGTGACTGCCATTACAAAGCACTCGCAAGCTGACTCGGTGATTGCCAGGAGTGAGGAAAACCGAGACAAGAGCGGGCCTTCCCACAAAGCACCCACACAGCATTGTGGGAGGGAAGGAGGATGTGGTACCTGATCAACAGAAGGGCGGGGCGGGTTCGCCCTGATCTGCGCCCTTGGCGCCAAGCAGTACCGTGCTTACTTATCTGCCGCCCAAACCCACCTCCCGCCCAAAAATTAATCTCTATCACTAATAAAAAATAAAGCTTTTTAACATATATAAAAAGTATAAGAACCTAAAATTTTAGTGGTATATTTTCTACTAGTTAATTACTTTATATATAAATTTAAAATTTTTAAAAATATTATAGTAGCCGGATCTCGCGGCCTTAATAATTTACTAAAACTAGGGTATTAAAAATAATTTTAAGGTTAGGGGGGGGAAGTTTTTTTTTAAAAAATATTTTTAAAGTTACTAAAAAATTACTTTTTTTTAGTTTAGTTAATTTAAAGCTATTTTAAAGCTAGTTCTCCACCTTTTTAGTTATATAGGCATTTTTTTTAGTGTTTTTTTAGCCTTTTTTTTTACTTTAAATTATTATTTTTTTGCATTCACGGCCCGTAAGGCCTTATTTTTATTAATTTTTTTTTAATAAGTTATATAGCCTTATTTTTTTATTTTTAAAAATCACGGGCTTACTAAATTTTTTTAAAAAAATAAAATATTATATTACTATTTTCTAGCTCCTGGAGTTAAAATATAAAAGGTTTTTTTATTATTACTTTTTTTTTTATTAATAAGGGTATTTTTAAGGTTTTAAAACTATGCTTTAGCTAGTATAAGCTTTATATAAGAATAATAAATTATATTTTTAATTTTTTTTAAATTTTTTAGGCGTAAGGGCCGCTTTTACATTTTTAATAAGTTATTAAATATTTTTTTTAGTTTTTTATCTTTAGTATTTTTACTAGGGGATTAGTTAATACTAAAATTTTATTTATATTTTTTTTAAATTACTTTAATACACGCTTTGGATCCTAGGGGAATAAGCTAGTTAAACTTTATAAATTTTAAATATTTTTAAGTATTAAGGCCTTTATTTAAGCTAGCTAAAATAATTTAAAAAAATCTTATTTTAATATAGCACTAAGGCCTTAGCAAGAATATATAAATATATTTAATTTATTTATATAGGCCTTAATAAAAAAAAGATTTTAATATTAAAAGGCTATAAAGTATAAATTAAATAAAATAAATAAATAGTTATAAAAATCTTATTAGCCTTATAGTAATTTAGGAACTTTATTATTATATAAAAGCTATAATTATTAAAAATAAAAAGCCTTTAACACCTTCTTGCTTAATCCCTTATTTTTTTATTAAATATATTTTAAAACCACGCGTATCCAAGCTTATTATTTATTTATTTTAAAATAATAAGGTAAAAAAATAGTTATAAATATTAATATTAATATTTTAAAGCCAGGAGTCTTATAGTTTACTTATAATTAATTAATAAATAAAACCTAGTAATAGCTATTTTTTATTAGCTAATATATAAATAATAGTAATTATTTACTTTTAATTATTATTTTATAAATATTACTTAAAGCTTTCTTTATAAAGCTATAACTTTTTAAAAAAAAATTTTATTTTTTATAATTACCTTAATAAGAAATCCTTTTTTATTTATATTATAGGTATTTTTAAATAAGACCTTATATTTATTAATTTTGCGCTTTAAGTAGTTAAAATATAAAAATATTTATATTTTAAATTAGCCTTTTTTTAAAGTGTTAATCCTAGTTATATAGGCACTTATAAATTTATTTTAGTATTTAATAAGCTAGCGTGAAACCTAGGTATTTTTTTTAACTTTTTTTAAGTAATTTTTCCTGCAAAGTTTTTAATTATATTATAAAAGTAAAATAAGCCTTTACTAGCCTGTTAATTAATATATTTTATAAAAACTTTTAATTATTAAGCGCTAAGTAATAATTAATTTTTATACTATTTTTTTATGCCTTAAATACCTTTAAAATATTTAAATAAAGTTATGTGGTTTATACCAAAGTTTTTAATAATATTTATATATAAAAAATATTTTTTTAGCTTTAAAAATTTAAAATATTTTATTACTTTATTTATTAAAATAAAAATAAAAAAATTATAACTATTTAAATTTTACAAGTAAATATTAGTATAAATATAGTTTGGGCGCTAAGTAGGTTTAGGCGGCAGATAAGTAAGCACAGTAGTAGTAGTAGTGATATTTAACACCCCGGGGATTACTAGGCGTACGCCTAATATTTTAGACCTTCCTTAGGGTATAGGGGCGTGCTATTATAAAATAAATAGTTTATTTAAATAATTTATATATAAAAAGCTTTTTATTCTAAAAAGTAACTTTTACTAAAACTTATAAGCTAGGTGCTTATTTTTTATTTATTATTTTAATATATAGCTACTAGTAGGTGTTATTTATTATATACTTAATAATTTAAATATTATAAAATATAAGGGCTAGCCTTATTTATAAAAAAAATATATAAGCTAAAGCTAGTTATATTAAAAAAAAAATTTAAAATAAAAAAAAAGCATAATAAAATAAAAAAAATAAGATTATTTAATACTAAATTAAATAATTTTTATAAAGCTAGGACACGGGGAGCCCTAGTAGGGGTAAATAAATTTATAAAAGTTTATAATTTTTAATAAAAATATAAAGTTTTTAGGCTTTAATTTATAAAGGTACTTTAAGGCCTTGGCCTTGCTTGTTAGTAGTGCTATAAAATATTAGGGTTATTATTAAAAATATTACTAAAAGTAATAATAAAAAACTAGGTATTTAGGGCTTTTACTTTTTTTATAAAAGTAAGTAACTTTTATATTTTTATATTAAAAATATTTATAGTATTACTTAAAGTTATTATATAATAACCTTAGTACTAGCTAGTAATATAAAATTAGATACTTTAATATAAGTTTAAGTTATAATTTAACTTAGTAGGGCTTTAATTTTATAAGTTATTATTTATACTAGGTTAATAATTTTATAAAAATTTTTTTTTATTATTTAGCTTAAATAATTTAATATATTTATTTATATAGGTTATATATCCCGCTTGCAGTAAGTTATACCTTAAAAAAATTAATATTTAAGGGCCGTGCTTTCGCGAAGGCTGCCTTATTAATTAATTTATAAATTAGCTTATTATTATTAATATTTATATAGCTAAAAAACTATTATAAGTAAATTATATATTAATTTATAAGTTAGTATAATATTTAAAAAGCTTAATTAAAAAATAATAAAAGCTACCCGCGCGTGTATTAAATTACTAAGGTATTATTTATATAAAGCTAGTAAATAAAAGCCTTAAAAATTTTTTTAATTATTATTTTTAATTTTTAAAGCGCGCTAATAGCCTTAATATTATAAATATAAAACTAGGTATTAATAACTAATAGTTTTTATATTTAAAAGTATTATTTATAATATACCATGTAGTTATAGCCTATATAATATATACCTTAATATATTTATTTAAACTTATTATTAAAAATTACTATCTTTATTATTAATAGCACTTGCTATTATTATTTAAACTTTTTTATAACTAGCTTTTTAATTTTATTACTAGTAAAATCCCTTAAGTATCCCTAAAAGTAATAAGGGTATGCTAAAACTAGTTTAAAAGTTTTTAAAAAAAGTACTTTTATTATTTATATTTTTATTTTAGGTTTTTAGTATAAACTAGCGCCTTAACCACGTAAGATTTCTAGTAATATTACTTATATTATTAATAGGTTTTAATAGTTTACTAGCTAAAGTTTTAAGGTAAATTATAATTATACTTTTTTTAATATTATTATAGTAAAAAAAGCCTAGTATTCTTAAAAAAAATTATTATAAATATTATTTAAAAAATTAAGAGTATACCACAAGCGGCTAGAATAATTTTTTTTAATTATTTTAATATATTAGTTTAATTAAGTATTAACCTTTAGGTTTTATACATGCTTTTTAGGCTTAATTTTATTATTATATTATACCTTTATATTATATAAAAGGCTAGGAATAATATAAGTAATAACTACCTTATAAAAAAATTTATAGGTAAACTATATATTATATATATTAAATTATAAATATATTAAGTTATTACGCGGGCTTTAGTTACTTACTTAGTAATATATTAATATTAAAAAAGCTATTTATTAAAAAAATACCTAGCTAGTATAATATAGGTTATTTTTAGCCTAGTATTATAATAATAAAAGTAATTATTACCTAGTTATTAACCACTAGCAAGGGTAATTTTTTATACTACTTTTAAGTAATATATAATATTTTTAGTTTTTTAAATATAAAGGATATCTTATTTTATTTTTTCTAGGCTAGTATATTATAAATATTTTTTATTAAAAATTTATAATTTATATAAAAAAAGTTACTCGCGTGGTTAAAATAAAAGTTATTTATATAATTAAAGTATAGGATTAAGTTTGCTAGTAATAATTTAATAATATATAATAAAAATAATATTAAAAAAAGGGGCAAGTCTTATAGCATGCTATAATATATTAAGTATATTATTATTATAGTAAATTTTAGGTATATTTTTATATTTTATTTATTAAAAAAATTATAATTAAGGCTAAAAGCGCGCAAGGCCAGCCTTGCTTTATTATTTATTAAAGTAGGTATTATAATAAAAT